ACCAGTCTTTGTTTCTGTGTAGTACCACAGAGTGGATCAGGAAGCAGTACTGGGAGGAGCTGCTGTGCAGAGGAAGAGGGACTGCTCGTTGGCTGTTCCCTTGTTGCCAAAAGGGGAACAAATGAACAGGGAAGTGACGCTTTGGAACTAAACTACTGAACAGACCTGCTGTTTACAGCATTACACAGGATTATTTCCCCTTAACTGTATTTGTTGTTGTTGGTAAAAAATAAAAATGTGACTTTTTAAATCAGATTTCCTATGAGGGGGTGTTGGGAACTTCAAATTCGAAGGCTGTCACAGTATTACATCTGTAGTTAATCTGTTTCCCTCCCCAAGCATATTTCTCCTGTCTTGGCTTCCCTTCACTGGCTCCCTGTTGAACACAGAATTGAATTCAATATCCTGCTCCTTAAGTAAAATATCTTAACAACGTTATAGTACTGTATCACCCCAATAGAGCACTTTACTCTCAGACTGGGGCCTGCTTGAAGGGTTTGTAAAAGCAGAATGGGAGGCAAAGCATTCAGCTTTCAGGCCTCTTCTGTGGAACCAGCATAGGGCTTTAGTTAGTGCTGGATCAGGAACTGAGTGCTTCTTCTCCTCTCACATGTGTTTATGCACCATTCTGCACTTACGCATTAGTTATTATTAATCTCTGCCTCTCTTATGAAAGGTAAAATATTCTTCATCACCTTTATATTATCAACTGTCTAGTCACTCGTCAACATAGTCGTTTCTAACCACAAAAATAATTACATTCCATGATAATCCATCTAAAAATGCTGTGTCTCTGTCCATATCAAGGAGAATGAAAACCTCAACACTGAGGTTTACTGGAAGCCCACACAGACCAGTACCTACTCTGGAATACAAACGTAGGGTGGCAGGACTCTTCAACACCTGACAGAAAATGTTCCCTCTAAGGGAGAAGGGAAAGAAAAGGAACACAGACATGTTATCCCAACTGGGCCTTCATCAAATCAGCAAAGATGCACAGTAGAGGTCAGACACCAACTAGCATCAGACTGACAAACGGAACAACACTGTCATGCCTTACACAGCAGGTTTATCAGAGAAACTTCTCCAAGAACGACATCCCAGCCACACACTCAGACACAAACTGGTTCATTCCAAGGACGAAACTCCCAAACACAAGCTGAACAACAGCACACGCTGTGCAGCGGAAATCTGACTGTAGCAAATGGAATAACAGGGTCGAAGGAGGAAGAGCCGCAGCTTTCCACTCTTTCAATGGAAGAGTGGAAAATATGAATCGATACATATGAAGGTCAACTTCCAAGCTTGCTCTCTGCTGTGTCCCCCATCTGGGTCCATGGCTGTAGTGGTGCTTGAGCAGACTGGTAGCCCAGTACTTGCTCCAGCAACTTGCAGTTCACTTCACTTCTATTCAAGTTTTTGTTTTTTAAAAGTTTCCCCCAATTCATCATTGCACCATCGTCAGTGGTACAGTGAAACTTCCTCTCATCATGTGTCCTGACACCCTGACCAATAGTTGCCACTAACCTTTGGAGGAGTTGGAGATTCCCTGGCCTTAACGACCGAGTGTGTGGCACCTGAATTTTCAAGATAGGACATAACTAATGCGAACAAAGACTGCATGCTTCGGGTATGTGTGCTGCAAGTGTGTACCTTCAACCATCATCAGCAGTGTTGTCCTTGTTGTGGCAGTCTTTAGCTCAGCCTTTTGCACTGAAAACAGTGTAATCAAAGTCACATTATGCTGCTTCTGGAGCTTCCTCTTCTTCTACCTGTGGGGTTGCCAGACTCTTTAACATGGTTAGGGTCGCCTTGTCAATCTTCTTCTCTCCCCCCACACTCTAGAAGAAATAAAAATATATCCACTCTCTTTCACTTATCCTTATCAGCCTTTCCCAGCTACCACGGGGCAAGAGGAAGTGTACACGCTGTGCAGGTCTCAACAGTCTGTTG